AACTGCTCGTCATTAAGCTCACCGAGAGGGAAGGTGTTAAGGACGTTGTAAAATTCTTGAATAAAGTTGAGTGGGTCCTCGCTTGGAAGCCCGTGGAATGCCGATAACTGGTTGTAGTGGATCAATTTGAGCTCGTAGTTTCGAGCAACATCTGGCAGACGAATGCATGAAGTGATTGGCCCGATAACCGGCTGGGCCAAGGTTCGGAGGGTGTTACGAGGAGCTTGCTGTTGTCGTTCACCCATATCGAGGTTGCTTCCTTCGGATGATTTTGGAGAATGTTCGTCTTTCTCTTTCGGTTCCAGATTAAGCTCTTCCAGCAACTCTCTCAGACTCTCGTTGAACGGTTTATCAATAGGAGATAGTACGCGTCCACTCCTAGTACGCATACAAAGACAAAAGAAACCGTCACGAGCACCTGATAGATAAAGAAGAAAAACTAAAGAAGAACAACCAATCAATAATTAAGAACTACTAAGCCAAACGAAAAACAAAGAGAAACACAAAAAAAATGAATAGGCGCACAATTAAAGTTCTAAACCTTCCCCGGCAACGGCGCCAATTTTTGTTGTTAGTATTTTTACCGGAGTAGAATCGAAAGATTCGTTCCCCGGGTCGTATCGCAAGGAAGGTTAGCCGGATTCAATTGTACGATTATTCGATCACGAGAAAGAAAAGAAAAATTCCTAAACACTCTATTCAATAATTTTGGGGGTTTTAATTATCAGCTAAAGATTTAAAACTAAAGCAAAAAAATTAAATAGCAAGCGAATAACCTCGAATGATTAAAGTGCTAGGGAATCGGGGATAATTGCTTTCAGTTCTAACACAACTACCGGCAATCAATTGCTCGGTTAAGGGACTTGAATCGTTTCTCGTCCAGAGGCTCACTCTCAATAACTCTTCGTAACAAGAGAGTGAACGTACACGATCAACTATCAATTCCAACAACCCATAGACAATACTATTACGAACAAGTCTACTCTAAACAAGCCTATATCGACCAACGTCTCCCCTCTCGGTTTTACACGTTGATTAATTAGGTTAGAAAGGTGATCAATCTACTAACCCTAGAATAAGA